GAATAAAAGAAATAAAATCATAATTAAAAAATATTCCAGTTATCGAGTAAGATTAAAAAAAAATTCATCGTTGATTGTTAATGCGGTAATTAAAAGATTTGCAACCCTCTTTAGTAGCAGCTCTCTCACATTTCGGCATTCTTAATATAATTGACAAAGTATTGGTCTAATTGTAATTACCAGGATATACTTGTTTAATTGTCAGTTGTGTGGCATCGATATGGAAACGAGAGCTTCGATTTAATCCAGCCCTGAAGATGAATTAAGAGCCGAGGAATCGTATTTTCTTCTTGGCTCGTGCTAGCACGTTCTGTCTGGTGGGGGATACCTCGAAGCAGGTGTGGCTGACTCACCAGGCCCAATATAGACGAACGTTTGTTTAGTGCTCTCCCGACGCACCACCAAGAACGACGGATCTTTCCCTCCTCTCTTTCTTCTTTTTCATCTCGTTCTCGTTATCGAGGAGAAATTCTCGTTCCTTCACAAATTACGTTCTCACCACAACCTCCCTTTTTCGTATTTCTCTTTCTACGAACGAGTTCGAACGATCGGCAATTCTTCCGGGTTGAAAGGAGCGAGTGGTTTTCGTGGCATAGCATTTTAATCTGGAGAGTGACACATTTCATGTGAAGGCGGTACTTGATTCTATTATGAACGAAGCCTCGACAGGCTCTGGTATTTGGAAATGTGCGAGGAATACCCGAACATCGTCACCACGGACACCCTAAAGCGGTGCTGGGTTTTGCTACGTTAGTACTTTCTTCTTCTAAGTCCTCTCAGATATCAGGGAGCTTCCGTTGCACGAAATCTAATTCGACGTTAATAATTCTTACTGAAGCAATTCGATACTCGAACTTGGCGTGACAAACCTTGATAGCCATCGGCAGGAATTACGTTTTAAAATGAAATGAAAAGTAACAAAATACTGGACTAAATAGAAGAGACCAGTTCTTATAAAAATTGACGAGCGTTAAGGTGTTTGAGTTAAAACGCGGTCTTTGTCTTACGCGATATAGCATTGTTGTTGTCCTCAGAATAAATATAGGAGTTCTAAAATTAATTCCAATTTGAAATGATTTAACTTGTAAATATATATCCAACACCTTTCAACCACTAAATCACTGAACAAGTGACTTAGACGGGAAATTATACTACGTTTTTTATAGGTGATACTTTTCCCTTCTGAGAATTCAGTTTTCAAGGTAATTTTTATTTATGATTCAGGTAACAGCACGACTGATAAAGACTTAGACAACGTTTATCGCTTGTTGGATGCGGATCTAAGGCCATTGACGCCCGATCAGACCTGCGAGAAGTCGAAAGAAATTTTTGAAGAACATAAACAGCTAGCGCAAGAATATTTGAAGGTCCAAACAGAAATTGCGTTGTTAAGTCAACACAAAAACGAGATGGTTAAAAATTTGACCCTTGACAGCTTGCGACAGCAGGAGGAACTCAGGAAACTGGAAGACGAGAAAGTGAGTTCAGACGTAGTTAACTATTATTTGAAGAGTTAAAATTCATAGTAGTGTATGTCATTTTTTGGAATGGCAATGGTTCCGGAAATGGTACTGCTTTATGCTGTTACCAATTTGCTAAAGAGATGAGCTAGAATTTACTTAACGTTTTTTTTTATCGTACTAGCATTCGTAGAGTGAAGAAAGCAATGCAAATTACAACTTGGCCGAAAAGTAACTTATACCATTATGACTTTTAGCACCTCATTTGTGTCATTCAGAAATAAAAAATGATCTACAATTGAAGTTGAAAAATAGTGCTCATTGGGGTATAATTTTTCTTATTAAATAATGTTCGACTCAAGATTGATTTTCACTCATTAATACTGGATTTAGCTAAATTTGCAAGAGAAACAGAACTAACGTAAAGAGTTCAAGCTTTAATTTGAGCTGTGAATAACCCGAATTAGTTCATTATTAATGACTTTATGAACAATTGATGTCGAACTATGTTTTTCACTACGACACAGATTTTGTAATTAGATAATGTTGCATTGAAGGCTAATTTTCGCTTATTAATACTAATAACTATAAAATACTAGAAACTAATTAATTTTATTTCATTTCAATTTCAGGAATCTTTAATAAAGCTGTACCGTAATTTAAAGCGGCAATTAGAGATTATGAAAAGTCAAAGGGTAAATAGTGCCGCATTGAGCAACGCTCAAATGGGCCCCACGGTCTCCGGGAATAATGGATGGTTCGTGGTACCTTGTCAAAATCCTTCGAGGCAGTCCTGAATTGTCGAGAACTAGAGAGCGTGAGCATTAATTTGTATTCATACTACCCCTGATGAAAACTTTTTCGATCGGTATCCACAATACCACTTTTATAATTTCTAATGATAATTCGTTTTGCATAATAGGTTTAAAAACTTTTTGTCAGGGGTAATATTACACGTTTTATAAATTTTTTTTTGGATAGACAACAACGTTGATTTAGTCATTAAAATAATAACTGTTTGTGATGAAAATAGTAGTTTTAGCAGCTATTACTTTAAATAATGCAGTTTATGGAACATTAGTTTAAAAAAATTTATTCTTCCGCAAACATTTGATTTTTAATGAGAATTTTTGATAAATGAAATTAATTGATTTCTGTCCAACTAAACATACTTGTATATCGATTTTATAGAAAAGTGCTTCTGTTGTTTTTATCGTGCTTTAATAAATTCACGTTTGATGGTGGCATCAGGAAGTTTTTATGTCTTCTATCGTCGCAAAATTTTAGTAAAAAGGAAAGATAATTATAATTTGTGATTTTGCAATGTGATTGAATATACAGGAATCAGCTAAAACATCTACCTTATTTACTATTGAATTAAATAATTTTTCAGGGCGAAATTATAGTGCTTCAACGGACACGTGGATTGGTCGGTAGATTTCTTCAGTGTCATTATGTTACAAGATATCAAATTCGCCTTATAATGTTTTAAATGGCATAGTACATCTATTTCTTGGTAAATATATAAAGCGTGAATGAACAAATTTAACGATCTAAATAAAGATATTACTCCTGCTACTAATTTTCGGATTTTTTGAATAACTATCATTGAGAGTAAAAATCTGTTTCGTAATCTCTTAAATCTGATAAGATATCAAACTGGGCAAAATAATGAGACTGAAAAAGAAGTTTACTCATCGATGCATATGTGCCTCGAAATAGTGGAACTCTGTCCTGAGAAGTATTTTTATACAATAGTAAATAAGGGAGGTACGTAGGTGACAGATTAAATTTTTAATTCAACCGAACGCCAATTGGCAATTAATGTTCATTTTTTAATACAAATTTGACTAATCAATTCTTTTAATTGAGGAACTAAAATTTAATTATTAATTCCTAATTCTTATTTTTACAAAATTTCAATTACAGATTAAATTTCAATTTTTAATTAGGAGAAAATAGAATCAACGGTCGAATTTTAATTCTTAATTAAAGAACACTCCGATTATCGATTGAGATTTAGAGAAATTTAATCGTTAATTGTTAATGCGGCAATTAAAAAATTTGCAACTTTGTTAGGTGATCCCATTTAACTGCTCCACTGTGGATTTTCGAGCGGTGCATAGTTCCACAAATTACAATAATAATTAATATAATCGACGATTATTAGTTAACCCGTTCGCTTTATATATATATATAGCACGAAATGAAATAACTGCGAATTTCAAGTGAACGGGTTAAATGCCTGCGACTTAGCGATCACGTTATACTTTTATCTATGTAAGAATTAACATTGATGTAAGTATGTATGTATTTATTTACGAAATATAAACAAATTTTTTTATCCACCGTCTTGCAATGTTTCTTCTAATCATCGAGGTATTTCGTCGGTGTATTTATGTAGGAAATATAAACACGTTTTCTTATTTATCCACTGTCTTAAAATTTGTCTCCTAATCATTGAGGAGTTTCCTAATGTATTTATTTAGCGATTGCTCGGACTCTGTACAATCCGTTCAAGCGGAGACTTTATCGTCAGTACATTTCCGAATGGAAATATAAAATATGTGCATGCCAATTACATGAATTCACATCTTATCGAATGCGAAAACGTCGGCAACAAAACAATTTGATTAACATGTAAACCACGGACTAGCATCACCTCCGAAGTATCTCTGCATTCTAGTCGACGACCTTTAACATCATGAAACAGTTGAAAAATACGATGCATACACACGAATATCGCGAAACTCGCACCAGAAAATATTTTACCATCGTACACTCTCGTCCCAGTCATTTTAGTTCCGTGGTCCCCAAGAATGCTGTACAGCGGCAGATTCATTTCACTTTAGTGGGGATAAAATAATATTGTTGCAATGATAACTCGCAATGGTGAATTTAAGTGTTTATCAAGTGCTTTTTGCAATTAATCAATGCAATAAATGAAAAAGATGAGACTTGGTTCCTCAACTGTGAAATCGACTGTTTATAGAATAATTTAAAAAATAAAAAAGAGTAGTTTTTATAAGATAAAGGTTGTGGAAGTACAGTGTCTCACATTAATATTCAGGCACATCTCAAAACGGATTAATTTTTTTAATCATTTGCTTTGGGATGTTAGGAGGCTTAATTAATAAAATAAGTACATGGTTTTTAATTTTAAATAAAGGAAATTAAAAACCATGTACTTATTTTATTAACTAAGCCTCCTAATATATATATATATAATATTTAGTCGCAGTCAATATTAAATGGGTACAGCAGAATAATTGCCTTAAAATTGGAGCAAACGATTTGAATTTTATTTGGAATGTTAGGAGGCCTGGTTTTTTACATAATGTGTAACAAGAAATTGAAAAAAATTGCTATTAAAAAGAAGAATATGTACGAAGTTTCATAAAAATCGTTTAATGTTACTGTAAGCTACGAGCGATCAGAAATTGCATAAATCGTAGTTTTTTACAACTTTCAGTCCACTACTGAGATAAATTGAAGAACTGTTATACGTTTGGATGCGTCTAAGTTTGTTATGCTTTCATCGATTTTTATGAATCTTTGTACATGCATAGAACTTAGATTTACAAACGGGTTGTTTTATTAGACATCCTAATAAAACAGTTTTTTTTCTTAAAGATTCTGCTGAACAGTATATTTATTCAATTTTTTGTCGCTTATTATGTGTAAACCATTATTTACGAAATATAAACAAATTTTTTTATCCACCGTCTTGCAATGTTTCTTCTAATCATCGAGGTATTTCGTCGGTGTATTTATGTAGGAAATATAAACACGTTTTCTTATTTATCCACTGTCTTAAAATTTGTCTCCTAATCATTGAGGAGTTTCCTAATGTATTTATTTAGCGATTGCTCGGACTCTGTACAATCCGTTCAAGCGGAGACTTTATCGTCAGTACATTTCCGAATGGAAATATAAAATATGTGCATGCCAATTACATGAATTCACATCTTATCGAATGCGAAAACGTCGGCAACAAAACAATTTGATTAACATGTAAACCACGGACTAGCATCACCTCCGAAGTATCTCTGCATTCTAGTCGACGACCTTTAACATCATGAAACAGTTGAAAAATACGATGCATACACACGAATATCGCGAAACTCGCACCAGAAAATATTTTACCATCGTACACTCTCGTCCCAGTCATTTTAGTTCCGTGGTCCCCAAGAATGCTGTACAGCGGCAGATTCATTTCACTTTAGTGGGGATAAAATAATATTGTTGCAATGATAACTCGCAATGGTGAATTTAAGTGTTTATCAAGTGCTTTTTGCAATTAATCAATGCAATAAATGAAAAAGATGAGACTTGGTTCCTCAACTGTGAAATCGACTGTTTATAGAATAATTTAAAAAATAAAAAAGAGTAGTTTTTATAAGATAAAGGTTGTGGAAGTACAGTGTCTCACATTAATATTCAGGCACATCTCAAAACGGATTAATTTTTTTAATCATTTGCTTTGGGATGTTAGGAGGCTTAATTAATAAAATAAGTACATGGTTTTTAATTTTAAATAAAGGAAATTAAAAACCATGTACTTATTTTATTAACTAAGCCTCCTAATATATATATATATAATATTTAGTCGCAGTCAATATTAAATGGGTACAGCAGAATAATTGCCTTAAAATTGGAGCAAACGATTTGAATTTTATTTGGAATGTTAGGAGGCCTGGTTTTTTACATAATGTGTAACAAGAAATTGAAAAAAATTGCTATTAAAAAGAAGAATATGTACGAAGTTTCATAAAAATCGTTTAATGTTACTGTAAGCTACGAGCGATCAGAAATTGCATAAATCGTAGTTTTTTACAACTTTCAGTCCACTACTGAGATAAATTGAAGAACTGTTATACGTTTGGATGCGTCTAAGTTTGTTATGCTTTCATCGATTTTTATGAATCTTTGTACATGCATAGAACTTAGATTTACAAACGGGTTGTTTTATTAGACATCCTAATAAAACAGTTTTTTTTCTTAAAGATTCTGCTGAACAGTATATTTATTCAATTTTTTGTCGCTTATTATGTGTAAACCAGGCCTTCTAACATACCATAGAAAATGAAGTTGTTTAATCCAATATTAAAGAAGTTATTCTATTTTTAAATGTGTCAGAAAATTGATGGAGTCACTATATTTATAGAATGAATTAAAAAAGAGAAGAGTATTTTTTTATCAAATAAAGACAGTGGAATTATATTTGAAGAATGAGAAAATTGTGAGAATTGTGGCTTTGTTTCTTCGCTGTCTTCGAAATTCGTAGAAAAATATTGTTAGATAACAGTTTCTTATAATTTTTCATATGCAGAGTAGTAGAAAGGAGCGTAGGCGATAAGGGAGGCAAAACGATAACGCAGAAAGAAACTGATGCGCACGCAACCAACGTATACATGTCCACGTTCGTGCACGCTGCCGCTGGAAGGGGTTGCAAGAGGGTGGCGAACGGCGGCTCGGTCAGATAGGAAGGGTGCAGTCGCCTCAGACGTCTGCTCAATCCTACTCTCGCGCCGAACCTTCCCTTTAAGCTTCTCATTATTCGTTTTCATACATTATCCGGTTTGTTCGAATTTCATCCCTTATCGATACCCGCGGCAATGGCTTTGGACGCGAATGAGAAGAGCTACATCCTGGACGCGAGGAACAACTACGAGGACGTGAGTACATATAGATTATTCCCACCGCTCAGCGTGAATCATCATCTGTTGTCCTGTGATCCTTCCGAGAACATGGTGGCACGTAGTGTACGATGAATAACACACTACTTGCAGACTTGGTTCATTAAATTCTGGAAATCTGATATTATCGGATATATCGCGAGGAAAGCTCGAGTCTAACTCGATTATGTGCCCAGGAAACTTAATCTGGTTTGCGCGAGTGTAAGAACAGTTTTAGATGTACAGGCGTAGGTGGTTCTTCGTGGATTTGTGCAATCGGGACAAGTGGTTCTTATTTCGAGTTTTAAATCTGTCATACCATTCATTTCGAATCTCCTCAGTACGAACATATCATGTTTTAGAGATAATTATATGTTCTCCACGTGGAGAAGCAAATCAAATTCGTTATTCTTTGTATCGTAATGTATAAGAGTTTTTAAATAAAGATAAATTGTCTTGAGAAGTTTGGTAACATTAAATGTACATTGTACTAAGAGTAAGATTATGAGAACTTTTCCTCTGGGAACCGTTTTTCTCATTCACAATTTATTTTGATTACATCCACGTATGAAACAACTTGCAAAAAGAAACACTTGAATTTAGGAATTCATTTATTGGAAAATTAATAGGTATTTAATATTGCCAAACTTGGAGGGGTATTATTCCCTTGATATATGATTTCTCTTTTCTTTAATATTTAATTTCTTCGATTCTAGTGGATAACAATTGATGAAAAAGATCAGAACCATACTAGAACATGTCAGAATTTTGTCAAGTCATTCGATCCGCGATTAATACTGGAAAAAATTCAATAAATGTTCATATTTCAAATAATAAATGCTAATTGCAATGTTTATCTCTGATTGCAACTTATGAAAAGTGTGGACGAAATTCACAGATCTCTCTAACACTGATACACTCTATTATTTATACACTTTACTAGAATGACAATCTAGTTGAAAAAAACTCATGAAGTTTTCAAAATATACGACAATTAATTTCAATTGAATTTAATTAACAATATTATTTTGCAAGTTACAGTGCATTAAAAGATGTGAAAAAGATCAGATCTGTACTATTATACGAGTAGTACATGTAAGAATTTTTCTAAATAAATTGATCCATAATTTATGTTCCATAAAAATTCACAGAATTTAGTGAATTTCGAAGATTTATCAGACTTAAAGGGGTCCCTCTTAGTATATGTCTTTCAGTATTTGTCGTATCTAATATCTTGAATTCTAGTGACCAGAATGTTCTTAATCGATGAGTTCCAACAACTAGAATGTTATGTTTAATTCTTTTTAATCGATTACATTCAGATTATGCAACAAAAATTAAAAAGCGATCTGTACCAATATTAATTGACCGAACGTAGTTTTGCGGTCTCTTCACGTTATGCAATTTACATGATAAATTATAAACTTCCAAAATATCTTTGACATTAGGATAATGTCATGCTTCATGCAGAGAACTAAATCAGATTCATTACTTTTTGTATCGTAATATATATAAGTTTCCTAGTAAAAAAAATTCTCGTGCAAGATTTGGTAATATTAAATATACATTGTATTAAAAGCGAGAGTGAAACACAAATAAAAATTGTATCCGTTATCCTATCGGCGAGAATCAATCCATTAACGTTCGAAAAAACATACAGAAAGCTTTCAATCCATCCATTTAGTCGTAACGCTAAAAACGAGACCCATAAAATTAATCCACTTTTACGTGGCATAAAGAAATAACGAATTTTCACCTAGTCCTTTTAAAGTAAGACTAATATTTAAAATCTGAAAAATATACCAAATGGCAATAAAAGTTGACTCCTTTGCTAGTTAAACAGAAAGAAGTGAATAAATGATAAAATTAACTTCCACGTCCGAGTAATTTTTCCCACAATTCACAGAAAGTCGATTTCAACAGAAGTTATGTATACTTTCATCTACGCTTAGTCGACAGCGGAATTGATTAGTAGACTGCGGACTTTTATGCAAAACTGAATTTTCATTAACATACATATAGAGATAAAAAACACTTTCACTACGCACATTTTTCTACACTATACATATTAGACATTACTTTGTACGTTTAAATTCTGTACGAAGAACAGAAAACGTTAAGAAACTTCGTCAGAGGGTGGGAAAACGGAAAGTGTAGTTTGTTTGTTTTATTAATCGCGCTCCTTACAACGTGTATTTACACTGATTATCGTCGATTAGAGAGTGTAATTTAAGCCTGGGGTCTGCAATTTGATCCCAGTCTATAATCTACCTCCAGTCCATTTGCTAAGGGAATCACGTTTATATCTAAATTAATCGTAGCACGCGCTGCCCGAGAAATCCAATTTCTTTCAGGCATTTCATATTCGCACTGATCTTAGTCCTACAGTGACTTCTATTAATATTCGTACACCTTCAAAACGGAATAACTTTTTTAATATCGGACCAAACAACTTAAATTTCTGTGGGATATTAGAAGACTCATATAATGT